CTCCAAAGACTCCCAGCCCTCACTGATCAGGCCCCCAACTGAGACATCTCACTCTCCTGGCACAAGGAGAAGGGATAGGAAACATCCCAAGAGAAAGAAGCAATGATTCCTCCTGGAAAAATCCTACACAACTTTCAGAGAAAATAATACATTTTCTAGAGGACTTTTGGATCAACCTATAGAATTTAATAGGGAACTCCATCCTAGCTGTAAATTCTCTAAGACCTCTCATGAAGCCGCTATAAATATGCTGTCTCTCTATTTAATTCTATAGGTATTTAGCGTCATTGCCATAGATAGCTGTCAAATCTGTAGATCCCTTTTGGTTTAATCCCTATTAATAGCTACATGATTTTCCCATTTGATATTGTGATATCAAAGCATTTGATATTGTGATATTGTGAAAAACACACACACACACACACACACACACACACACACACACACACGGTAGCTCTCTTCCTAACTGCATACAACATTGCCAAACAAAAATTATGCGACTATCTGGGACCAAAAACAAGACATGAATCTTGTTGGATTACAACAGGGAAAAAAACACCTCATATTATTGTATTTTCCTTCTCATTTTTATTTTAGGTTAAGCAAATTGAGCAGGTGTTAGGATGCAAAAAAAAAAAATGAACTGCTTGGGAGCTTAGTTTGAAACAGAAGTGTTTTCAGAACAATCTATCAGAAAAGAAACTACTGTGACAAATGTGCTCTTATTGCAGTTTTTCAGTTTATATTAAATATTATTATTATTATTCATTTTGGAGGTTGTGAGTAGGGAGTGGTAACACACCTAGGACCTAGGTATTCAGTCCTACAGCCTTAAAATTCTGCAAGGTCTTTTATGAAGGAATTCACCCTGCAGAAAGGAAATGGTGAACTGCAGGAGTGGAATGTGCCAAGACGGCTCCACAGAGCTCCTATCAATACAGCTCTGTCATGATTTGTAAATTTCCTGCTACTTCATTACTGGCACCTTCTGCTAAACTACACAGAGGCTTTGTCAAGCAAAGACCCACTGGCAGCAGAGCAGACCATAAAGCTAATTTAATTTGCAGCCTTATTAGGAGCTGAACCTAAGTGTATAGAAGTAGGACTAGTGCGTGATTCAAATCCTACTGATGCCTCAGTGGAAGACACCCTAGGTTCCACAAGAATGGTGGCTTAGCTCTGATGTCAACTTTCCAAACAAAATCTATTTTGGGGCCGAGATCAAGCATGGGAATTTTTGGTCCAAAAAGAACCTTATTATTTTGGTGGTGTATTGAAATGGTGTTAAAATTACAATTTAAGTTTTAAGGGGTTTCTCGTTCCTGTTTGCAGGTTAGGGATATCTGTAGGAAAGTGTGCAATCTGAGGGTATGTATACACTAACCCGCTAGTGCGAACTAGCGGGGTAATGTATGCATACCGAACGTGCAAATGAAGCCCGGGATTTGAATAGAGGCTACTGCTTCAGAACTTGTTGGAGACCACGACCATACACCATTACCATGAATGGCATATGGTGAGGCTGGTCTGACAAAGTTGGCAGCTGTCCGAGAGGGGGCATGAAACAGCTTTAAGGGGGGGGGGTGTAACTCAGCACTCCAACCCTAAAAATTGTTCCAGCACCACTGTACCTTGTCTAGTATCTTCCAATCTTGTCATCTACTAAGGAGCAAATGGGATCGCCTCATGCTCATTAACTTGAGAGGTAGCACTTAAAAATTGGCCTGATTCTATTCTATAGTCTCCTACTCATATTTCCCTTCGGAATAAATCAGAAGTGTGCACAGCTACTTTTGCCCAGATGCTGCCCTTTGTTATTAATTTGTTTTGCAATCTGTTTTTTCATTACTTTGCCAAAGATAGCATATTCTCCTCAACTGTTTGTTTAAAAACCCTTCATGCAAAGCCTAACAAGTGTCTGGTGAATTTTCAACTTTCCTGCCCCAGAGCCCTTAGTACTTTCCCTGGTTCTGTGGATCATTTGTGTCTCTTTATTCACGGAGGGTGGAAATGTGAATGTCACACCTCAACCTCTAGTTTTGTTCCTGGCTGAGTTTGCAGCTGATGATTATTTAGAACAGAGGAATGCTTGAAATGAGTAATTTGGAGTCAGGGCCAAGGGTCCAGCTTTTAACTTGAAACACAACAGTGTTACTATGAAAGATGAGCCCGAAGCAAAACCCCCGACTGGAACTTCACTTTTGGTTACCACAGTTCTGTAATGGGTCAAAATAAAATCATGGATCTTAATACACATACTGTGCAAGTGTGAGGAAGTTCATATGTAGACCTGTATTTTGCAATGTGGGCCTATTTTTGGGGATCAGGTCCTGAGCACTATGTTATGCTGTCCCAAGAGCAAACTGGAGGCTGAAGTCACAACCTGCCTTCTGGTTTCCCTCTTTGTCTTTGAGGGAAATTACTTTGTGTCAGGTCTAAACCAGATGCAGCATACAGGTGTAACTATGACAGCTGGTGAACTGTGGGATCAAAGCCAACACTACCTATGCCTCAAACATTTGAGTAGAATAAGGAAATGCAGCAACTCGACAGAGAAAGACTGTTTTCTAACCAGGAAGAGAGGTTGATAAGGCTTTTTTAAAACAACTAACAAAATCATCGAAAGTACAGGATTTGGTGGTGATGGGAGACTTCATCTACCTAGACATCTGTTGGGGAAATTAACACTGCAAAGCACAGATTATCCAAAAAGTTATTGGAAGGCACCAGAAACAATTTTTACAGAAGGTGGAGAAAATTAATAGGGGAGAGAGAGGCAATTTTAGATTTGATTTGGACAAACAGGGAGGAACTGGTTGAGAATTTGGAAGTAGAAGGCAGCTTGGGTGAAAGGGATCATGCAGTGATAGAGTTCATCATTCTAAGCACTGGTAGGAGGAAGAACAGCAAATAAAAACAATGGATTTCAAGAAGGCAGACTACAGCAAATTCATGAAGCTGGTAGGTAAAATCCCATAGGAAGCAAATCTAAGGAGAATAACAATTGAAGACAGTTGGCAGTTTTTCAAAGATACAGTTTTAAGGGCACAAATGCAAACTTTCCCTCTGTATAGGAAAGTTAGGAAGTATATAGCAAGAGATACCCTGGCTTAACCAGAAGCTCTTAAATGATCTAAAAAAATTTAAAGAGTCCTACAAAAAGTGGAAACTATGTCAAATCACACAAGATGACTGTAAACAAATAACACAAGTATGTAGGGATAAAATTAGAAAGGACAAGGCACAAAACAAGACCAAATTAGCTAGAGACATAAAGGATAGCAAGAAAATATGCTACAAATACATAAGAAGAAAGAGGAAGACCAAGGACAGGGTACTCAATGAGGAATGAAAAACAGGAATAGAAAATGTAGAAAGTGCTTCATGACTTCTTTGTTTTGGTTTTCACCAAGAAGATCAATAGTGATTGAGTGTCCAACATAGTGAATGCCATTGAAAATGAGGTAGAACCAGAGGCTGAAAGAACTAATAAAAAAATACTGAGATAAATTAGATGTTTTCACGTCACTAAGGCATGATGAAATGCATCCTAGAATACTCAAGGGGCTGACTTAGGAGTTATCATAGCAATTTGGGGGAGGGGGGAATGGGAGAAGAGGAAGGGAGAAGAAAGAAAAGAAACCAGTGTGTTTATATTCATGAAACTGATACATGTGGATATACCTCTTAGACCTTCTTTTACATGAAATTTAGATACGATTATAGCCAGCTAACATATGAACATTTAACATGATTATCCTGTATAATACATACCGTAGCCCAGGAGGTGGGCAATAATTTTTAATGGGAAGCCACTTCAAGAGTTTGGTAAGTGGTCAGGGGATGCTCTCTTATATGTTAATGGAAGAGGTGCAGGTTCTGGGATGAAAGTTGGGTGCAGAAGGGAGCTCGGGGTAGGAAATTGGGGTCCAGGAGGGAGTGCAGGGTTTGGGAAGGGGGTTTGGGTGCAGGAGAGGATTTGGACCTGGGGGGAGAAGTACAGGAGGAGGAGTGCAGGCTCTAAGAGAGGGTTGTGACTGAGGCAGGGGTGCAGGAGAGAGTACGGGGTCTGGGTTGTGACCCTGGACAGGGAGTTAGGGAGAGGGAGAAGGTAGGGTGGCAGGTGTGTGCTCTGTCCAGGAGGCCTTATAACACTAGTATAGTAGGCAGCTCCTGGCCAGCAGCCCAGCGGGACCCTCAGTCAGGCTTCCTGCCTGCTGCAGCCTAGTACAACAGTCAGAGTGACCAACTGCTGGGGCCATGTGTGTCCTTGTGCCACACACCCCTTTAGAGGAAGGGGAGATTTCAGTGTGCTGCACATGCCTGTAAGCACAGCCCAGGCAGCTCCCATTGGCTAGAATCCAGCCCAGGGTTGCTGCAAAAATTGTGTTTGGGGCAGGGGCGGTGCATGGGAGCCCCATTCCCCATGGGGCATATGGCCTAGAGATGCCCATGGCCCCAGCAGTTGTCCGCTTTGAGCGGCATGCAGGGCACAACAGGCAGGGAGCCTGCCCGAGGGTCCCACTGGGCTGCAGGACATTGGCAGCCCAGGGGATCGGGGTGGGCCCAATCCAAAGGTTTGCTGGGATGGATTTGACCTATGGGCCATATTTTGCCAATGCCCGCCATGGACACAGCAAGGCAAAGAGATGTAATCAGGAGAATCACTTTTGTCCTTAATGTTTTCAAAGCAAATGAAGGCATGTAACGGCTTACAAGACAATTACTACACAAAATGCCCTCTCTCCTTTTCCACCACTCTCTTCTTGAAACAAAGATCACTGGCAATTTCTAATACTGATGCATTTACCTTAGACTTACAAACTGTGTTCAACGGCCCTTTCCAATCTAGCAGTAATTGCAAAGGTCAGTTGAAAAGTACAAAGAAAACAAAGCTCATTAAAAGTGTACTAAGGATGATATTGCAAAATATGGTATATACTTCATTTAATCCTGAACCTTCATATTGATATGGACCTTTGTGATACAGTAGAATTGATCAAACTGTAATCCAGACTGTGGAAAAAAACTAATACTTTGCCATCTCTTCCTCAGTCCATTAATCCCACAGGTCGTCAGCAACGGTTTATGGCGGCTTTATGTCAACAATTATCTCATGCTGAAGGACAAAGCAAATGTTAGGCTATTGATGCGGATTGTGCAAGGACACACATTGTTTAGTGTTTACAAACATCCCATGGTAATGTTAACTTATACATAGCGCAAAGCCCAGATTTCCAATGAGGGAGATATAAAAGCGTGCAAACGCTATGCACACACAACACCCACAACTTGTCCCAAGATGCAGCTCTGGTTCTGAGACTTAAAATGCCCCATCAGAAATCAAGGGCACCGTTCTCCAGAGTTAAATGCTACTTTTTTTGGTAATGCTTTACAATTCCAAAAGTTCCCAAACAGTGATTTCATTTACAGACTCTGTATGTAAGTAACTGTCTGCATAGATGAATTGATTCTCTTTGGGACTTAGCATGTCTGGATCAGTGGGAGTGGGAGTTGGCAGAAGTTCCTCATCCCTTCTCCCTGCTTCTGGCATTTTTTAGGCCAAACCTGTCTAGCAGTGGGCTGAGACCTCTCATACATTCTCTGGAGCTGGCATTTAGGGATTTCTCAATGGAACAGTTCACAGGGCTCCCCTCTCAAGAGCTCCCCTTTGTGGCTGAGGGAATGTCAACAAGCTCCTCTGCTCCAACTAGATCTAGGAGTGCAGGTGTCCCCGATGGCCTTTCTGGTCAGTCACCCTCAAGGAATCATCCACCCTGGGAGCAACCAGACAGCCAACACAGGGTAAGGGATCCTCAGGAGGCAAAGCAACATAGGCATTTCCAATAAAACCAATGCAGACTGAGGGCTATGCCCTACCCTCTGCTTCTGTAAGGTGCGGAGTAAGAACCAAGTGAATTCAGTGCCAGGGGGACCCAGAAGGGAATACAGCTCTTATGTGGCATGCTCCCCATTCCTCCTGACCTCCTGAGTAGGCGCTCTGTGGGGAATCAGGTATGAGGGGTGGGGAAAAGGTAAGGGAAATGGTGTGAATTAAGGCTGACCCTGACAGTCGTACATTACACCATGTTTCTTGATAGCCAATGAGGCTCTCTTCCCTGAGAAGAAGTGGGCAGCTGCCACCATGCTGCAGCGCTCCCTTCATAAAAATCAAAATGTGGAAAACTTTTATCTGCTCTAATCCTGTGAGTGGTACCAGCTCTCGGGGGGACAATGGATCCTCCTGCAGTACAACCCCCCGCTAGGGGAGAGCACAAAACAAATAGCTGTGGGTGTCCAGTTTTAAACTCCAGATTTCCACGTCAGATAGATGAAAAACGGGATAATCCTGGGAAAAACAGAGTGTCCAGTCACTTTACTCACCATTGGTCACCGCACAGATACCAAACCTACAAAGGGCTCTACAAGGCTCAGTGGGTGAACGTGCTGCAGAGATGTGTGATGCGCTTGTCTTTAGAAGGGATGCTACCTTCTTGGGGTGGAGAGTGCCCATGCTTGGATCTGTGAGGGCACAATGTGGCCATCAGTCAGGAAATGGAGAGAACCCCCTGTAAGAGAACAGATCAGCAGGCTGTAGTTGTCTGTTGTGTGAAGCATGCATTAAAATACTGGCTTTCTTAAAAAGGACAAAGAAAACTGCACCTACACTTGTTTCATGTGGCTGTAAAAGAATGAGATCACGGGCAGAAGAATATAGCCCACACTAATGACAGTGCCTTTTAACTTGGACTAACCTCTTATTCAGGGAAAGCATGGTCTAGCACTTCGGATCATAGCCTGGGGCTGAAGAAACCATGGTTCAAATCTCTGCTTCCTGTGTGACCCTGGACTAAGGGTTTGTCTAGACAATAAGTGGGCAGCAACCTGGAGTTTAAATCTGCACTAACTGTGTGAGTGGACCTTCATGCTGTGATCTAAAGTGTCCCTTGTGCACATTGACAGCATGGTAGCAGGGCCCACAGGGACAGCCATTAGTGTGAGGTAGGCTAATGGACTGCAGAGTTGCACCCTGGTTTGTCACGCACTAAGTGTTAGTCCAGACAAACTCTGAATCTCTCTGTGCCTTGGCTCTCCTCTGTAAAATGCAACCAATAGCACTTCTAAACTTCCCAGGGGGGGTGTTGTGAAGATAAATATACCACAGACTGTGGGGCACTCCGATAATACAGTGATGGGGGCCATATATTTACCACAGATACTGAACTTTGCCTGATTCCTAGTTCAAGAATGCAGACTAGAGGACAGTTTAAACTGCTTTTCCAGATGCAATATTATTGTTGAACTTTACATAACGGTGATGAGGATTTTGAAAGAAATTGCCATTTGTTTCTATGCTGTTCTTTTGAATATATCATTGTGTGGAAAATGTGTAAGATCAAATTTTGTACTGATTTACACCCTGAGTTATTCCAGTGACAGGAAGAAGTTGTCCTGTATTGGTTCATTTCAGTTCTCTGAGGCTAAGTGGCTTGGACATATTTTGTTCCTCCTGCCATCCCTTCTAATTGATAATTTAGGCTGTAATGCTGAAGAATAATGAAAATAGATGTGATTTTTCTCCCACATTCAATTTTCTTAGCCAGTAACTTGGGAAATAGCAAGTAAAAATCTGCCTCAGGTTACATTGGTGCAACATCATTAAGACCCCAAAAGTTCTAGGGGCACCTGGTTTTATTTTTTATTTTTTTTTGAAGGTGCTGTAGTTTGGAAACAATCATTATTAATGAGAAGTTTTTGGAACAAAGAAATTGTTCCCTATGTGCTGGCAAATTTGTCTCTGTCCTACTTACAGCATAAAATCCTAGAACTATACAAATATGGATCTGGAAGAGACCTCAAGAGGGTCCATCGGCTCATCGTGAGGCAGGACCGAATAAACATAGACCACCTTTCTGACAGCTGGGACTAGTTTTTTATAATATTTACAAGAGCGCTTTAGAATCTTGGATAGGCTTTTGTCCTCCTCTCTGTAACGCTAAGAACAGAAGATGGTTATTTTCTCTAAACAAGAGATTCTGCTAAGCTGTTTGCAAAGCTGTGTGGCACGATTTAAAATAATTCTTTCCTCTCTACCAACACACAGCTACTGCAGAGTCTACAGAATTAAAAGGATAAGGCAGTTTCTCTAACTAAAAAGAAAACTTGAGACTGCACTTTCCTGCATAATTGCTGTGCCAAAAGAAAATGAATGAAACCATGTGTTAAAAAAACACCCTAAGAATAAATTAAAAATTATTTGTTCAAGTCTTTCATTGTTCCCCCCATGCACAACTCAGAGAAAATTCAGTTTATTTTCAAATGTTCAGATTTTGCTTCTATTGATAAACACAGACTGACAAAGCCTCGTGTAGACACAGTGTACACTAAAGGTGTAGGAACACCATCTTCCTAAACAGGCTGAGGAAAGACTTTGACAGGCCTCCCGGGCCTAGCTCTGTGCTCCCTGGAAGGGGTGGGGCTGGGAGTTAGCCTCCCCTAGCCAGCCATTCAGTGCCCCCGGGGTGCACCATCTGTGGCAATGGTGCTATTTAAAGGGCTTGGGGCTCCAGCTACTGCCGAATGGCTGTGTAGGCCGGGAGCACTAGGCCCTTTTAAATTGCTTGTCCTTGGGGCAGCTGCCTCCCTTGTCCCTCCAACCACCAGCAGCCCTGTTCATAAACAACATTAGAAGTACTCTTTGACCTGGTCTACACAAGGATTTTTCATCAGTATAGCTACATTTCTCTGGGATGTGAAAAAAATCCATGCCCCAAGAGATGTAACCGTACCGATCTAATGCTCGGAGTAGACAGCTTGGGTACGTCTAAACTACATGGCTCCATCGATGGAGCCATGTAGATTAGGCTGATTGGCAAAGGGAAAGGAAGCCGCGATTTAAATAATCGTGGCTTCATTTAAATATAAAGGGCTGCCGTGCTGAGCCAACAAACAGCTGATCAGCTGTTTGTCGGCTCAGTGCGCTAGTCTGGACGCTCCCGCGCCGACCTGAAAGCCCTTTATCGCCCTCCCCGTTATGCCTCATAGGATGAGGTTTACCGGGGAGGGCGATAAAGGGCTTTCAGGTCGGCGCGGGAGCGTCCAGACTAGCGCACTGAGCCGACAAACAGCTGATCAGCTGTTTGTTGGCTCAGCACGGCAGCCCTTTATATTTAAATGAAGCCACGATTATTTAAATCGCGGCTTCCTTTCCCTTTGCCAATCAGCCTAATCTACATGGCTCCATCGATGGAGCCATGTAGTTTAGACACACCCCCTTAGTCTGATGGAGGAATTCTTCTGTTGGCCTAGCGACTGCCTCTCTTCCCCTCTTTTATCAAACCCAAGAGGAAACCACAAACTCATTGAGGGTATGTCTACACTAGCCCCCTAGTTCGAACTAGGGAGGCTAATGAGGGCGACCAAAATTGCAAATGAAGTGTGGGATTTAAATATCTCACACTTCATTAGCATGTTCCCGGGTGGTCGCCATTTTGGAAGTTGACTAGTCCGGAACAACTGCCTGCGTCTACATGCGGCAGTGAAACGGGAGTTCGAAGTAAAGCCCTTAATTCGAATTAGCTGTTAAACCTCACTATAGGAGGAATAACAGCTAATTCGAGTGAGGGCTTTACTTCGAACTCCCGTTTCACTGCCGCATGTAGACGCAGGCAGTTGTTCCGGACTAGTCAACTTCCAAAATGGCGACCACCCGGGAACATGCTAATGAAGTGTGAGATATTTAAATCCCACACTTCATTTGCAATTTTGGTCACCCTCGTTAGCCTCCCTAGTTCGAACTAGGGGGCTAGTGTAGACATACCCTTAGAGAGAAAAGATGCTTTGATGATTCTTCTCTCCCACTGACATTACACTTATGTAACTCCACAGACTTCAACCAGCATGAAAGGACTGATTTATGCCAGCGTAAGAGGACAATAATGTTTACCATTAGGTTGTGAGCCATTTAAGAAAGGGGCTGTGAGAATGCCTGATTCTCCACTGCCTGTATATTACATAATGATTTACACCTGGGCAGAGAGAGTGCAAAGTGGGCAGTATCACATACTCCCATTGTGATTATGTAGTCGTGCAGTATATCAGCTTTGCATAGCTGTGACTACACAAAGTGCAAAGCAATAGAAGGTTGTGCCCTTTGTGAAGTATTTCTAATGCATGTGTAGGGTGCCTATATGCTACTTAAATGCATAACAACAAAATGTAATAAATACTGTAGTGTGATACATGCAGGCAGTTAGCAAATACCAGACATAGTGAGATTTTTAACATCTGAGAAAATAAATCTGCTGCCACCAGATTCACAAGCAACTCCTGGACAAGAACAGACACAAAGTAGGATTAATAACCTCGGGACCAAATCTGCAATCGTTTATGATGAGGAGTAGTGCTTACTCCATGAGTTATTCCATTGCAGGCAAGGTGACTTTGCTTAGCTAACTCTGCCAACCCAATGAGGTCAGTAAAATACCTCTGCGAGCATGGTCTTTGAAGCACTAACACTTTTTTTTTACTCATTGCAATTTCAAACATTTGTAGTTGCAGAAGTGATCCTGTTTCTTATTCCAGCTGATCATCTAGGAGTTAGTGCTTTGTTATTTGTTTCTTTCCATTTTTATTTTCTTTAGTAGCTCTAAATTGTCTCGTTACCTTAAACAAGTCAATATTCTTTTCAGAGTAAAGCAATTTAGCCAGAAAAGAATGCAGGGCCTCTGTGGGAAGATTCATTGGAGGGCACTAAACAGCAGCAAATCTCTCTGAGTCTTCCCTGATCATTCTGCCACAGGCAGGGCCAGATTAAGGGGGGGTCTAGCTGGGCAGCTGCCCGGGGTGCCAACCGATGGGGGGGCGCCTGATGGCAGCTGTAAGGGGTGCCACACGGCCGGGCGTACGGCGCCCCTTAGAGCTGCAATCAGGTGCCGCGCACCCAGGGTCGGGGGCTGCGCAGTGCCCCTTAGAGCTGCAATCAGGTGCCGCGCACCCAGGGTCGGGGGCTGCGCAGTGCCCCTTAGAGCCGCCATCAGGTGCCGCATGCCCGATTGCAGCTGTAAGGTGCGCAGTGCGCCGGGGAGCGGGGCCGCGCATGCGCTGTGCACCCAGGGGCGGAGCCGCGCTTGCGTCGTATGCCCGCTACCCGGGGCACAGGAATGGCTCGAGCTGGCCATGGCCACAGGGCAGAATTTGCCCTTCACAGAACAGGCCACAGAGCCTCGAGACCCTCTCAAATTTTCTGATGACTTAGCTGCTAGAGCCACGGAAGGTCTACATGCTTCCTTTGGGCCTCCAGCCATGTGGCTTCAATGGAGCTATGCTAATAAGTCTCCTACAGCCAGTGGCTTCCCCAAGCATCCGCAATGAAGCAGATCTATTAGCTTCCCACCCTGACCTTTACAGGAGTATGATCTTTCCATCCTGACCCAGTAGGAATATGGTCTCTTTGACCCATCACCACTACCTTACCCTCCTGACCCACATAGCCCCACTGAAGCCATGTTGCTGGAGGCCCAGAGAGAGCACACAGGACCTCCACTATGACCTCCCATGAACCTCCAGC